GGGGGAAAATGAGCTGATACCAAGGGCTCAAGTAGAAAGCAAATGTTTTGAGAATGATGATGGCAACAAATGTACAAATGTGCTTGACACAATGGATATATGTATGGCTTGTGATAATCGTTGTACGAGCACCAATAAAATGATAAAAATAAGTCAAAGAACACTACCCATACTCACAAGGTTGCTGTGAGTCAGTCAACTCCACGCAACTGATTTTTAGGTGACGGAGAGTTTTTTCTTAGTTCTCCTTGATCTTCTTTCTTCTCATACAATAGAGTCTTTTTCAAAGAGTTGGCTCCCATCTAATGACCTCACACACATATCATCTCCAGCCTGTGAGACGTCAAAAGGGTCAGATTCCACCCCTACTTTTTCTAATTTGGAATGTTGCAAGAAGCGCAAGTGTTTACCTGGGACTCAGCCCTTGGTTAGCAGCTGTTTTCAAATCTCTTGGCTCCAGACAATTCCAGAAGGGAAATGTGTACCTTGATCTTACTTCTGCCTGAGATCATTGTTGGCAGGAGTCAGGTTGCTTCCCAGAACAGAGCCGAATCCTGTTTAACTGGTTTGGGCTCATTATTTTAGCATCTTAGAGCCTGCAACAGGGACTCTCTTGTTTATTTTGGCTGAAGGAGTCGACTGTTGATAGAAGCTCGGTCTTGTCTGCAGACAAGTAGGAACTCAGGCATCTCTCAGCATCCTATTGAAAAATGAAGGCCTCTTTGTGTTTGTTTTTTGGTAGAACTCAGCCAATATAAGCTTCTTCCTGTCTGTGAAATCTCTAATTCATGGCAGTTAGGGACTGGGAATAATTTATTCCTCAATTCCTGCTCTTACCTTGGTGGTATGCTGTATTTCTATATAGGAATCAGGTTGATTTTTAAAAAAATATGAATCTTGTATCCTGCCATGTGGCCGAATCTTTTTTGATTACTTCAACAATATTTTTGTTGTTGTACTTTGGGGGTTTTTATGGATAGAATTCTATCATCTGCAAATGGTGAAAGTTTCCCTTCTTTGCCCATTTGGATTCCTTTGGTTTCTTCTTTTGTCTCATAGTTCTGGTTAAGACATCCAGCAAAATGGTGAATCAAAGTGGTGTTAAATATATCCTTGTCTGGTTGCCATTCCCAAGAGGAATCTTTGCAATTTTTCCTCATTGATTGAAATGTAGGCTGTTATTTTTTCATATTTGGCCTTTATGTATTTAGACATTTCCCTTCTGTTGCTATTTTGAGTGTTTTTATCAAGAGTGGGTGTTGGGCATTGTCATGCTTTTTTTTGCGACAGTTAATGTGATCATGTGGGTCTTGTTACCTGTTCTGTTTATGTGGTGGGTTACATTGATTGTTTTTCTAATGTTGAACACCCTTGTGTACCTGGTGTGAATCCCACTTGTTCATGGTGTATTATTTTTGTTTCTTCTCTTTTTTATGGGTCTGTTGAGATTTTTTTCATTAATCTGTGTTAATTTGGATAGATAATGAGTTTTGGGAAATTTATCCATTTCATGTAGGTTTTCAAATTTATTGGAGTGTAATCTTTCATAGTAATCTGTTATTATTTCATAATATTTCATTTGGTTCTTTGTGATATCATCCTTTTCAGCTCTTATTCTTGATATTTACATCTTCTCTTTCTGTTCCTGTTTGTCAATTTTATTCATTCTTTCAAAGAACCTATTTTAGCTGATTTTTTTATTTTCTGTTTCTGCTTTCTGATATTTCTGCTCTAATCTTGTTTTTTTCCTTCCATTTTCTGCTCTAATCTTTTATGATTTCTTTCCTCCTGTTGGTTGCTCTTCTGGTTGTTGAAGAAGCTAGGTTAAGGTGTTGATTTTGGTTCTTTTTGTTTTCATATGTGCATTTATTGCTGTAAATTGTACTCTGAGTACTGATTTTCCTATGTCCCAAAGGTTTAGGTATGCTGTGTTTCCATTCCAATTTTTTCAATATATTTTTAATTGCATTCTCTATTTCATCAATCATCTAAGAGTTTTTAAACAGTATGTTGTTCATTTTCCATATGTCTGATTTTTTAATACTTGGTCTTCCTATTGTTTATTTCTAATTTTATAGCACTGTGGTCTGAGAAAATGAATGGTAATATCTCAATATTTTTAAATGTATCAAATCTTGCGTTGTGCCCTAACTATGTTCTGTTCTAGAGAATGTTCCAAGTGCACTGGAAAAAAAGTTTATACTGTGTTGTTGTTGGATAGTATGCTCTGTATATGTCTAAGAGGTTGAGTTAATTGTATTGGTTAGCTCTTCTGTGTCTTCATTGATTGCCTTTTCCAATGATCTGTGCTTCTCTGTGATTGATATTTTGAAATCTCATACTATTATTGCTATATGTCTTATTTATCTCTTCAGCTCTACTAGAGTTTGATTAACGTATTTTAACAGTCTTTATTAGATGCATGTGTATTTATTATCATTATGTCTTCTTGTTCTATTGTTCCTTTAATCATTGTGTATTTTATAATAGATTTTGCCTTGAAGTTTATTTTATTGGTGATTGTTATTGCCATTCCTGCTTATTTTGGGATGTCATTAACTTTTTTCCATCCTTTGATCTGTATCCTAATGTTGTCTTTGTGTCTGAGGTGTGCTTTTCATAGGCAGCATATTTATGGGTTTTGATTTCTTATCCAGGTTGCTACTTTCTGTCTTTTACCTGATGCAATGAGACCATTAATATTCATGTTGTCATTGATATGTGTGGGTTTGTTGCTGGGCTGTCATTTTTGCATGGTTTGCTTTTTTGTTTTTTATAGTGTTTCATTTCCCCCCTCTACTTTTGGGCTGTGTTGAGTACTGTTTTTAGTATGTTGCTTTCTGTGCGATGTTGTCTTATAAGTTGATCTCAGGTTTGTCTGTTGCTATTGCTGATTCTCTGTCCAAAGTGTGTTCTCTTTAGTATTGTTTTGTATTACTGGTATTGTTTTTATTTTAACTTATTCTTTTCTAAAAATGCCCTAACTTTTCCTTTATATTTGAGGAGTAGTTTTGCTGAAAATAAGATTACTTGGCAGATTTGTTTTTTCTTCCAAGATTTTTTTGGCCATCCATGGCCTTATTGCCTACACAGTTTCTCCTGAGAAATGTGAGCTTATTCTTGTTGGCTTTTCTTTGTGGGTGACTGTTCTTTTTTCCTAGCCACTCTTAGGGGCTGGGGGACTCTGTCCTGTTTGGGGTCCTCTCAGCTTCTTGAATAGCTCTTTTCTCCTCTGCCATGCTGTTAGGGACATTTTCTTCATGGTTTATCATACTATTTTCTCTTTAAATTATTTTGGTTTTCCTTGCTCTGGGAACCCAATAAGATGTAGGCTGTTCCTCGTGATAGTGTCCCAAGGAATTCTTAGATTTTCTTTGGATTCCTTTGCTCTTTTTTTTTTCCCTTTGCTCTTTTTGTTGACTGATTCTCTCGTCAGTTGTAGTCAGGGATTGTCTTCAAACTCACTAATTGGACTTTCTGTTACTCTGCTCTTTTAAAGTGTTGTCTAATTCTGTTACCTTAGTATTGATCGTCAGGATTTCTTTTGTTGCTATTGTGGTTAGATTTCTTGATTCCTGGGGAATCAAACAACAAAAACCGTTTTTCCTTAGCTCCCTTGGTCTTTTCCACCAATTGTTGGAAGTACTGAAACATCTTTTTCCCCCTCTGGTAATTCTAGAACTAATTTAAATACTCTAGAAAATTCCTTTGGATTTGGATATTATTCAATTATTTCTCTGTTCCTTGTGCACCAGTATTGTCTGCTGTCTCTAAGACATTGTGGTGTTAGGAGTGGGATAGAAGTTGGGTCATGTGGTGATATTGATAAGTGGTGCAGGAGACGATCAAGAAGAACTACAAAATAAAAAGAGGATAAATATGAGAATAGAAATGGAAAAAGAAGGAAAGAGGTACTAAAATTAATTAAAACATGTTTTAAAGAATGATATAAATGAATACACAAAATAAAAATGTGGTTTGATTGGGGTAGCTTTGAGCTATTATAGGTTCAGGAATGGCAGGACCCTGGGCTGGGCATTAGCAGAGTCCAGGGACAGGTCTCTGTAGAATGCACAGGCTTAAGGTTGGTGGTGTGGGCATGTGCTGGGGGTGGGCAAAGCGGCACTCTGGTGGGGGTGGGGTGGGGGACACACACACACACAGCAGCAGCTGTGGCCTGCAGGAGATAGGGCACAATGGCAGCTCCAGCTGTCAATCAATGGTGGGGGGTAGTGTGGCAATGGCAGCTCCCAGTAGCCAGGAGAGTATGCTGCC